CTGATTGGCTTCGCCACGAACCCGACTCCCAGCGGGAGGGAGACGTGCGGCCGCGTCACCAGTATCCGGGAGGAAGGGCCCGACGCAGGTTGAAGAGAAGTGAAACTCCGGGCTTGGGGAATCCCCTGCGCCGGGGCTCCCCACCCCAGACACCGCCCGCGGGGCCGGAGACCCTGAGAGCCTCGCCCCGGGACCTGGGACTTGGCCCTGACGCCCTCCTCCGGCACCGAGCGCGCTTTGTCACGCTGTCGCCCGGAGCCCTGGCCCAGAAGAAGTCTCTCTGTGGAAACCGGGGAGAGACGCCGGTCCCAGCCCTTTCGCTTCACTTCTCGCCCTGGAATCCTTGCCCCTGAACGGACTCCCTTCCCTGCGCTCATCCTCTCCCCTGGACTCTTCTAGAATACAACTCACCCCAGGGACCCGATGCAGAGTGAGCTCCCCTGGAAATGCAGGTGTAAGCACAGGGGTTTTCTCTTTAAACCTGGAGTCCTGTCTGAAAGCACCAGAGAAAGAATACCTAGAGACCAGTTTCCTTTTTTTTTGATTAATTACCGAGGGTAGCACAATCTCGGTAACCCCCGAGTGATCAGGAATCTTATCTGTAAAAGAAGTCACTTTGGCCCCGACACAGGTAAATGTGTCTAAACAGCATTGCAATCACATGAAGTTCCCAAGTTTACTTTCCTAGTCTATGTCTCTGTGACTCTGGGTTTTTGAACTTTAAATTTATCTCCATTCCATAGCCCCGAGTTTCTGTGTGTGAGTCCTGGACACGTAGATACAAAGAAGCACGACTTGTTACTGTGTGTTGCAGCCAGGAGCCTGCCCAGACTGTAACCACCTCGGAGCTGCAAGTGCTCAGTGCAGTTCCAACGCCCTTCACCAGTGCTCCTGCACTGCGGGTCTTCGTGAATGACCCACGTCTGAGGTGTGTGGGTATTTGATGGGGGCACTTGGTATTTTTTTTAACCCAATTCACATAAGGACACTTGTTTATAGGCAGTCCCACAACTGTATTAATTATCAAATGCAAAAGTCACCCAGCTAGGCTCTGTAGATAGATGTCTGCAAACTTTATAAAACACTGTGTTTAAATCTGAGAATTCCACTACTTTGGAATTCTTCCCCTGCTTCTTTTCCTCACCTCCTGCTTCTCCAGTCCCTCTCTTTCCCTCCAACTCCTCAGGTCCTCTTCTTCTCTTAGTCCCCATAGCCCTTCACTACTGAACTATGACATTAGTGCTGTCCCCTCACCTGCTACCTGAATATTCTCCCCACAGTGGTCAGCAGACCTGCTAATGTGAATCATGTCATGTCATTTTTGGACTTAAAATGCTCCAGTGGCTCCAGGTCACTCTTCTGAAATCTATAGAATGTGAGGCACATGAGCACAGGAACTTAGGGCTGTTTTGGTCTAAGTCATATCTGCAGCATATAAAGTCATACCTGGTGCGTAGAAGGCATTAAATTAATTTTTGTTCAATGAAGAAATGAAATACTTTATTAAAATGTAATTGCATCACATAAAATTATAAGTGAAAAAGCATTAAAAATGTTAGGAAACGTTATTTCATGCATATCATGAACCGTGTGTATCATTTCATAAGTTCATTTCAGTGGAGAAAACTTGTGATTATCTATTGAGGCTGTGTATTGATTTTCTATTACTGTATAAGATATTACTATAAACTTGATGGCTTTAAACTACACCCATTTATATGTTTACATTTTCTTTTTTTCCTTCTTTTTACAATTTTATTTTTAAAATGTGGTGTACAATTCAGATTAGAGATACAAGTGGCCATTGTACAGGTAAAGTTTGGGCTTTTGGTCACCACTTTGCCTGGTTAGAGATCTGGTACCCTTATTGATGAAATGTGTGTCCCTCCTCTCCTCTCCTGGCAGTTTCCCATTACTGCCAATCCCTTTCTGACTGTAGTATGATAATTGCTCAGGGTCTGCTTATGAGTGAGCACATGTGGTGCTCCGTTCTTTGTTTTTGTGATAGATCACTGAGTATTACAGACACTAAATGCATCCAAGTTACTGTGAAGCTCATGATTTTGTCCTTATTTATGGCTGTGGAATAGTCCATCATGTATATGTCCCACGTTTTTTAAATGAGCAGTTCACTTTCAATGAGCAAACAGTTGGTCCCATGTTTTTGCTATTGTGAATAATGCTGCAATAAACATGCATGTGCAGGAATTGTTTTCATAGGGTAATTTGAGTTCCTCCAAGTGTAGTCCCAGAAGGGGGATTGCTGGGTCTAATGGAAGATTGATTTTTAGATCTTTTAGAAATCGCCACACTGTTTTCCACAGAAGTTGTACTAGTTTATACTCCCACCAACAGTGTAGAAATGTTCCCTTTTCCCACATCCTCTCCAGCATTTGTTTTTTGAGTTATTGATGATCGCCATCCTGATTATAGTTAGGTGGAATATCAGTGTGTTTTAATTTGCATTTTTTTGATGATTACTGAGGCTGGTCATTTTTTCACTTCTTTTTTGGTTGCTTGTTTTTAGCTCATTTTTAAGACACTTATTTTAAGAAATGTCTATTTATATCTTTTGCCAACTTTTTGATAGGGCTGTCTGTTTTTTTCTTTTTGGCGTATTTGAATTCCTTATAGATCCTGGAGATTAGGCCTTTGTCAGATACACAGTTGGCAATTTTTTTTTTTCCCAGTCTGTGGGCTTTCTCCTCACTCTCTTGATGAACTTTTTTTTTTTTTTTTTGGTTTGCAGAAATGTTTTAGTTTGTTAGGGTCCCACTTGTCTGTCTTATCTGTATGGCATGGGCATTTGGGCTTTTGATCAGGAATTGATTGCTTATTTCAATTTCCATAAGGGTGTCTCCTATATTTTCTAAGGTTCTTATAGTCTGAGGTTTTATATTTAGGTCTTTGATCCATTTAGAGTTGATTTTTGTGTATGGTGATTGGTAGGGGTCTTGTTTTAATCTTCTGCATGTGGTCAGTCAGTTTTCCCTGCATCATTTACTGAATAGGTTCTCCTCTCCCCAGCAGTTGTTGGTGAAGGCATTGTTGAATATGAGTTGGTTGACAGATTGAAGTTTTTCTTCCTTAATCTCTATCCTGTTCTATTGGTCTATATGACTGTTTTTGTACTAATAACAGACTGTTTTGATTATTGCAGCTTTATAATAAAGTTTAAAGTCTGGAAATGCGATACCTCCTGCTTTGTTTCTTTTGCTGAGGATTGTTTTGGCCATTCATGGTCATTAATGTTTCCATATGAATTTCTGTATTGTTGTTTTAAGGTCTGAGAAGATTGATGTTGGTAATTTAGTGGGTATTTTGTTAAATCTGTAGATTGCCTTGGGTAGGATGGACCTTAGCAATGTTGATTCTTTGAATCCATGAACATGTGATATTTCTCCATCTCTTTTTGTGTCATCTTTGATTTCTTTGAGCAGTGTTTTGCAGTTTTTGTTGTAAAGGTCTTTCACATCTCTGGTTAGGAAGATGCTAAGGAATTTCTTTTTTTGTTATTATTGCTCATGTGAATGGGATCGTGCTTTTTATTTTGTTCTCTGCCTATTTGTTTTTGATGTATAAGAATATGACTGTCTTTTGCATGTTAATTTTGTATGCTGAGACATTGCCAAAGTCCTTTATCAGTGTAAGGAGGTTTTTTGACAGATTCTCTTGGAGTTTCAAGGTATGGGATCATATCATCAGCAAAGCAGGATAACTTGACTTCCTCTTTTCCTATTTGGATATCCCTGATTTCCTTCTCTTGTCTGATTTGTTTATATTTTCTTAGTCAGAAATCCAGGCATGGTGTGGTTAGGTTCTCTGGTCAGGTTTTTATAAAGCTGTGTCCTCATCTTGGTGTTTGGGTCTCCCCAAGCTTATAAAGAGCTTGTGGGAAGAATTGGCTTTCTGGCTTTTGTAGGCCTGAGGTCCCTATTTCCTTGTCAGTTGTCAGGGTGAAGAAAGGGGAGGATTGTCCCCAATTCCTAGTACCACCATCATTTTTTGCCACATGCTCCCTCACTCATTTTCAAAGTCTATAGTTGAGGAAATCCCACACGCTGAATCTCTCTCCCACTGTGACTCTCTATGCTAAGGAAGAACCCAGTCCTCTTAAGGGTTTACCTGATTAGGACAGTCTAATCTAGGTTAATTTACTGTCTTGTGGTCTACTGATTTGATATTTTAATAACATCTACAAAACCCCTTCACAGCAGAACCTACAATAGTGTTGACTGAGTAATGGGGAAGGTAAATACCCAGGAGGTAGTTACTAGCAGGGGTCATCATAGAATCAGCCTGGCATCACCTGGATTTTTCTTCCATATTTAATTGCATCCCATTGGAAATTGAAATTCAAATAAATAGATTGTTGTGAATGGTAATAAAACACATTCTGTTTAGCCATGGAAATTCTTCTTAAATTGTAAAATGATGTTTAATGTCTTAACGTTAATTTTGAGCATGTGAAAGTTAAAGTGTAAGAAGTCATTCTCTCCTTGTAGGTTAATTAGTTATCTACTGCTGCATGAAAAATACCCTAAAACTGAGCAACTAAAAACAACAAATTCATGTTATTTGTTAAAACTTTTGATAGTCAGAATGTTTCCCTGAATGCATCTGGCTTAGGGCCCCTCACAACATGCTGCATCGTCTGAGGGCTCAACTGGGGCTGGGGACTCACATCAAATCTGGCTCACACACATGGCAGTTGGAACAGGCCCTGGTGATTTGGTGCCAGGAGACCTCAGTTCACAGCCACATGGACCTTTCCCAGGGTTGCTTATGACATGGCAGCTGGCTTACACATAGCCCAGGATCCCAAAGAGAGAACCCAGGTGGAAGCCGCAGTGAATTTTATGTTCTACACACAGAGTCATAAGTGATTACATTACTCTGTCTG